GCGGGCTGCGCCAGCTGGCGCCCCCGGCAGAATGCGCGATGGGCACCTCCGCCTGCATGGCTGTCAATGGAGTGATGTCATCATTGGGTGCCCCGGGCACCCCGTTGAAGGCGGCACCCTAGGCGGCGGCCAAGACCGCCTATAGCCACGGGCCACCCCTGGCATTGGGTGAGGTATAGTTCAGGGAAGTGGAAAGTGTATGGCTTCTGTATCCACGTACAATCCATGAGCCAGAATAATCTAGAGTACAAAACTATAATTTAGTTTGCTTATGCATGAAATCTCAAAGAAGTTTAGCCTGTGCACAAGGTGACTGTTTGCATTAAGCTACGTTGGAGCTTGCAGTGTTCCCAAACTGTTGATGAAGATTTTAAAGAGATACACTGGCATGGTCTTAAATCATGAAAATTCTATACTGGTTTAGATGAGTTGAATTCATTTAAGAGTTCCCACATGGAAAGGGACTCTTTAACCTGGAAGTTTGAAAATGAGGCTGTACTTTGTTACAATCAAAATCCAGTCAATAAGAGTTTGAATTCCCCTGAATTTGATTGTGTCTGGGACACCTGGCCAGATCTTTAAGACAGACTGGGCATGATATTTTCTCTTAGTAATTAAAACTATGGAATAAAGTACAAACATTCTTTTATTCTCTGTGAAAATGCCATCTGAATGCTCTTTAAGCCACAGGAAAACTGAATGTTCAATCTCATGATCACTGAGATCTGTTCTCTTTCTGGAGCTCTTCCGTCTTTAAAATGGAGCCTTCCCTAATCCATAAACACATACCAAAAAAAGGAAATATTTGTCATTTTGCTTGTAGCCTGCAAACACATATAACTATGCTGATGATAATTTTTCCTGAGTAATTCATCAAAGGAAAATACTCAGTGAAGTAACCAACCTCACATGGCCTGTTCTGTTTTGTATTTGTACTGTAGGTGTGGAATAAACCAGGAACTCTGCCAACCAGCCCCACGTCCACCACAGTAAGCAGTAACTTTATGACTTCAGGGGAGGGAAAACTGCAGGCAGCCCATGTTAAAAATCATGCTCCCAGAATCCCTCTTGCTCACTCCAGCCTCCTCCATGCTACATTTCAGATTGTGGGAGCAATATCTGTGTGCAAATTTAGTTCTAAATTGAAAAAAATAAAACTGTTTAAATGCATGATGCAAGGTTGTGGCCCAAAGGAGAGAACCAGTGGAGGACTCCTGTTTTAACTCTGGTTGTCAATACTTTGGTCTTGTCTACACTAGGATTTTCAGACTAGCAGGTACAGTTCCACTGGTAGATACTATAGCATATATGCTGCTCAGACCAGTTCAGGTGCTTTTACTATTAGCTAACAGAGTTAAAACACTGATCCTCCTCAGAGTGCAGACAGAATCCTAATCTGAATCAACCTAAAGAGAATGGAAAGAGCTTTGATCAAGTCAGTGAACTCCAGGAGTCTCATGTGAGGCTGCAGAGGGAAGTGTCTCTAGATCCTCAGGTTACATATCACTGTGCATTTCAAAGGGGCAGCCATGGAGCCCGGGGTCAGCTGGGCACTCCCCTGCTGATCCCGGGCTCTGTGCGACATTTCCCCAGAACCCGACATTTCCCCAGAAGTCCATGGAGTCCCCAGCTGACCATGGGTTCCAGAGAAGTGCCACGCGGAACCTGGGGAGTCCCCTGCTGACCGTGAGTTACAGGGAAGTGCCACGCAGAACACGGGCACTCCCCGGCTGACCCCAGACTCTGCATGGCATGCAGCACAGCATGGAGCCCGGTGTCAGCAGGGGACTCTGAGTCCCCCGCTGACCCGGGGATCCATGGCTTTGAAATGCACAAGAGCTCCAACGTGTAGCTCGGAATCAGCAGGCCCCAGACTTCCCGCTGGCCCCAGGCTGTACACGGAGTTCAGAATGCCCAGCAGGGGCTCTTGTACATTTCAGAGGAGGAATGCAGAAGTGCCTATCGAGTAGTCCAGTGTTTCTCAACCAGTGGTACGAATATCCTTAGGGGTACTTGAGAAGAATCTGAGGGGTACTTCAACACAGCTGAAGTTTGGAGAAAAATGAATTTTTGTTTTAAGTTTTATAGCATTTTGTACACCCAAAAATGTAATCTGGCTACAAAAATTGTTTAAACAAATGTGTTGCAATAGTAGAAAAAAAAATTGTGTCTGAAAACAGTAGGTACTAGAGGTACTTATAATTTTTTTTTTTTTAAAGGGGTACTTTATAAAAAAAAAAAAAGGTTGAGAAACACTGGAGTAGTCGATGGAAATTCCATTGACTACTCGACTAGTCAGTTAACCACAATTTAACACATAATACAAAGGCAGTAGCACTAGGCGGCAGGCGGGAACCGGTACACTGCCGTCATCCATGTAACTGGTGAAATTTTCAGTGGTTACACAGTTACTTAATTACACACATTTGAACATCCTTAATGTATATATTTGTCTATTTCTGCTGACCATCAGTGAAGCTAATGCACAAACAAGGAAGTAAAAGAGAGAGTCCATAGGAATCATTTGACTCAGCGATGCTGACTGAAAGTTCCTTTATTATGACCTTTATGTTTTCTTTTCCTGTTAGATTCTTTGTAGGAATAGCAGCCTCGGAAGTCCATCTAATATATGTGGATCCCCTCCTGGTGCCATTGGGAAACCACACAGCTTGGAGAACATTGGTTTTCCCACAGACTCAGTAACTGCAGCCAGCAGCTATAAGAAAGCACCAGGGTTTGAACGGGAGGATCAAGTGGGGGCCGAGTATCTGAAGAGCTTCAAATGCCAGGTAAAAAGAGAATGTTGTGTGGTGGAGAGCAATTGCCTGACTTAGTTTGGGTTGATTCTGTTGTCCGTGGAACAAAAGTAACACACAGTTGCCACAATGTTTGATTCCTAAATTTACTTTTGTGGTCCCAACTTCTATGCATCTGTTCAATCTCTCATTAGCTCCTGGCTGTCCTGTTGCCATTGCAAACTCAGTCTGTCAAAATTTAGCTTTACTCATAGACTCATAGACTTTAAGGTCAGAAGGGACCATTATGATCATCTAGTCTGACCCCCTGCACAGTGCAGGCCACAGAATCTCACCCATCCCCTCCTAGAATAATCCTCTCACCTATATCTCAGCTATTGAAGCCTTCAAATACTTTGAAGACCCCAAGATGCAGAGAATCCTCCAGCTGTGATCTGTACCCCATGCTACAGAGGAAGGCGAAAACCCTCCAGGGCCTCTGCCAATCTACCCTGGAGGAAAATTCCTTCCCGACCCCAAATATGGCGATCAGCTAAACCCTGAGCATGTGGGCAAGACTTACCAGCCAGACACCCAGAAAGTTCTCTATAGTAACTCCTATCATCCCTCCATTGATCTATTTACCACTGATAATGAAAGGTCAATTAGTTACCAAGATCATGTTATCTCATCAAACCATCCCCTTCATAAACCCATCGGCTGTGTCTAGACTGGCAAGTTTTTCTGCAAAAGCAGATGCTTTTGCGGAAAAACTTGCCAGCTGTCTACACTGGCCGCTTGAATTTCTGCAAGAACACTGATTTCCTACTATCTGAAATCAGTGCTTCTTGCGGAAATACTATGCTGCTCCCGTTCGGGCAAAAGTCCTTTTGCGCAACCGGGCCAGTGTAGACAGCTCAGATTTGTTTTGCACAAAAAAGCCCCGATTGCGAAAATGGCGATCGGGGCTTTTTTGCGCAAAAGCGCGTCTAGATTGGCACGGACACTATTCCGCAAAAAGTGCTTTTGCGGAAAAGTGTCTGTGCCAATCTAGACGCTCTTTTCTGCAAATGCTTTTAATGGAAAACTTTTCCGTTAAAAGCATTTGCGGAAAATGATGCCAGTCTAGACGCAGCCATCTAGTTTAATCTTGAAGCCAGATAGATCTTTTGCCCCCACAACTTCCCTTGGAAGGCCATTCCAGAACCTCACTCCTCTAATGGTTAGAAACCTTCGTCTAATCTCAAGTCTAAACTTCCTACTAGCCAGCTTATATCCATTTGTTCTTGTGTCCACATTGGTATTAAGCTTAAATAATTCCTCTCCCTCCGTGGTATTTGTCCCTCTAATATATTTAAAGAGTGCAATCATGTCCTCCCTCAGCCTTCTTTTAGTTAAGGTAAACAAGCCAAGCTCCTTGAGTCTCCCTTCATAAGACAGGTTTTCCATTCCTCGGATCATCCTAGTGGCCCTTCTTTGTACCTGTTTAAATCAAGTCCCTCTCCACATCTTTCCTTCTTTATTAACTTTGGATAGCAATTCGATGTCATTTGAATCTGCTTCTTCCACAAGGTTCTCTTCAGATGTAGAATATCTCTCTCCACTGCTAAAATCCTTATTCACATCTGGGTCACCTTGATCACTGCAACTATCATTTCTCTGCTCTTGTCACCTCTCATTTCTCTGCTCTTGTCACCTCTAATTTCTCCGATCTGTCCAGACACCACTGCTAGTTCTCTTTCTTTCCCACTGCTCCAAACATGTCATCCTTCTTCTGAAATTTCTTCCCCAGCTCCCATGTTTCCTTGTTCTGTGTAGATCCTTTGTAGGAACAGCTGCCTTGGAAGTCCATCTAATATATGTGGGTTCCCTCCTGATGCCACTGGGAAACCACACAGCTTGGAGAGCATTGGTTTTGCCACAGACTTAGTAACAGCAGCCAGCAGCTCCAGGAAGGCACCAGGGTTTAAATAGGAAGATCAAGTGGGGGGCCAAGTACTTAGGGTGAAAGTAACTTATCAGTCTTATTAGTAAGGGGGCTCGGCTCCTTTTAAATCGCCAGGCACCAGGGAGCTGTCCCCTCTCCATCCCAGTCGGTGGCCCTGCAACTACAGCGCTGCCGCTTTCTTACCAGTATGCCATACCAGCCCGTAGGAGCCCACTTTCACCTCTGCTTCTTGTTCAAGTGGTATTCCTAGGAGTGCTACACATCAGGGTGTGCATGAGCCTATGCACTCTTAATTGGAGATTTTTGTGAGACATGTACATCAACAGGCAAAGGGTGGGGGCGGGGGGGAATCTATTCCACAGCCCTCTAAGAGGCACTATAGCTCTGGGCCATCTGTGTTCTTCACAATCTCTCTTTAGAGGCCTGTCACCTCCCCTGGGCCAAGAATGCCACTGTGGGC